TTTTTCCTGGGCCCGCATTCATTTTGGCCACCGCCAAGAGTGTTCGAAGGAACATTGGCTAATGTAACAATGGGAAAAAATCTTTACCGACTGCCCATTCTGTAAAAGTTCATTAAATAATATAACTAAAAAGAAAATATTTATCACTGTCAATAATGTTATCCATTTATCCGTTATTTTAAACGCTAAAGACCGCAAGTGCATTTCAAATTAACCACGTAATGCCAAAGTTTTGTACACCAYGTGGTCGAAGTTCAAGTCTAGTTTTCATCACGCGGTGTAAAAATGAAAAAGAACTTGCCCACTTGGTATAACATTGGATCACGTGGTCGATTTGGAATGCGCTTGCGGTCTCTTGTGGTTAAAATAACGGACGCTGCGAAGGCGATACAAAATCACAACTGCCTCGGTCTTCTCTTCTGGGAAGAGTAGTATACAGTCTTTTGACTAAACCTTGTTGTTTGATCGGCAACATCCCTACGCGCCTAGACCAAACAGGATCATGGGGATAACTCATTCAGAGTTGCTAGCTGCCTCATATGTTATCTAACACGTCTTGAGCTCGCTGTTTTCGATCCCATTTAATTTGCTAAAACTATGCTTTGAGCATATGGCGAAGATTTAAACTGGCGAGCAGTTTGGATGACGCAAGTTCTGGGTAATTTACCCGTTATCCTTTTCGGTCTATGTGTGTAGGAATGATCCGATCAACGACAACGTTTAGTCAAAGGACTGTATATACACTACCTTTTGGGAGGGGTGGGGGTTAAAATGACCAAACAGTTTTGCATATAGCTGTATGTTCATATATTTGTATATATCATATCATATTATATTGTAAATAGATTTTAACTGTTCGACAACACAGCAAACGCTGGGTGAGTTTTTTAAGACGATCGTTTTTCAAATTTAAGAGGTCTTATATTTCAATATCATTTCGTATGATTATTTTAAAAATTATATTATAATTATATATTTATCAAATCATGCTCGCTTTTGTATATTAATAATGAATAAGGAATGAGCAAGACACGTGTGACTCAATCACATGACCTAGTATATATATAGTCACGTGGTGCACTATGTCACACGGCACAACATAACGTGCGACACAACATACCGCGTCAATACGCTATTTGCATATTATTTGACATTGAAACACGTGAAGCTCGAGGTTTGTTGAACTGAACAAAAATTGACGTAACGTATAACGATAGCAAGCTGGTTTGCTTGAAAAAATAAGAAGCTGTATCAAAATTGAAAAGTTCTGCTTACGCTCGCCGACATTTAGAGGAAAACTGTTAACGATCTCGAAAAGGATTAGTCTCCCCCACAGCCGCTTTCAGTGTCGTCACGCAACGCTTTCTCCCCTGAGTGGGGAGAAAACGTTGCGTGACGACACTGAAAGCGGCTGTGGGGGAGACTAGAAAAGGATAGGATTGTGAGACTGAATATATGATGAATATATATTTAAAAAAAAAAAATGAATAAAAGGTGGCATAGTGATAGTGCACCCGCGTATCACTGACCTCTGGGTTCTCGGG